TTATTATTATTATTATTATTATTATTATTATTATTATTATTATTATTTCAGACGGACAGGCATTTGGCCCACAACACACCTGACATAACAATACTTGAGAAGAAAAGGGTTTGGTTCATTGGCATGGCAATACCTGGTGATGCACAAATTGTAGACACGCAACAAGAAAAAAATCACAAAGTATCAGGACTTACAAATTGAAGTTGAGCGACTTTGGAAAAAGAAATCGTGTGTTATCCCAATTGTTACTGGAGCCCTTGGAGCAATACCTAAAGGGCTACCTCTCTATTTGGAAATCCTGAATTTATCAGACTTGAACACCTTGATTCTACAAAAAAACCACCCTACTTGGAACAGCTTATATCCTCCGACGCTACCTGAACAGTTCCTAGGTCCTTGGTTCGGACTCGAGCTGTTGAGCTACCAACCAGTCCCAAAGGCTATGAATCTCACTAAAGATATAATAATAATAATAATAATAATAATAATAATAATAATAATAATAATAATAATAATAATAATAATAATAATATAATGGCCTGTCAACATCATTACGCGGGTGCAGCCCATAGTGTATAGAAAACTGATGACCATACACTATGCTCTGCAACCTCTGTAGTGAGGTTGACAGGCTATATTTGCCCAGAGAAGCAGGCGGCAGAGGACTTTTGCAAGTGAAGCAGACAGTCGAAGAAGAGAAGCATGCTCTGGCAGATTATGTGAAAGACAGTGTTGAACCAGCTTTGATGGAGTTCAACAAGAGAAAGTGCTCAAAAAGTGCAGCAAACCAAGAATCAATACAGGAAAACAGCGATGCAAACTCGGGCTGACAGCTGGTGTAACAAAGCACTGCATGGACAGCTCCTTGAAAAGATCCAAGGAAAAATAGATAAGGAAAAGACCTAGTTATGGCTGACCAATGAAACACTGAAGAAAGAGACAGAAGGCCTGATTCTTGCAGCCCAAGAACAAGCCATCAGAATGAATGTAATCAAAGCCAGAATAGAAAAATCTGCTGATGACCCCAAATGCAGACTCTGCAAAAAAGCTGATGAAACCATTGATCACATACTGAGCTGTTGCAAGACAATAGCTCAGACTGACTACGAACAACATCACAATACAGTCACTCAGATGGTCCACTGGAACTTGTGTCACAACTACCATCTGCCTGTAGCAAAGAACTGGTGGGATCATAAGCCTGAGAACGTGGTCGAAAATGAGCATGCAAAACTACTGTGGACTTCCGAAAACAGACTGACAAAGTTTTGGAACGCAATACCCCAGATATCAAGATTGTGGAGAAGAAAAAAGTGTGGATCGTCGACATTGCCATACCTGGTGACAGCAGAATCGACGAGAAACAACTTAAAAAAATCACCAGATATCAGGACTTGAGAATCGAACTGCAAAGACTCTGGCATAGACCAGTGCAGGTGGTTCCAGTGGTACTCGGCACACTGGATGCTGCTATGCCTAAGGACCTAGGCAAGCACTTAAAAACAATTGGCGCTGACAAAATCACCATTGGTCAGCTGCAGAAGGCCACCTTACTGGGATCTGCTCGCATAATCCGCCAGTACATCACGCAGACCTAAACGCTTGGGAATTGTTCGACTAGTTATTTGTGATACAAAACCCAGCATAATTATCTCGTTTGCTGTGTACACTGTCATTTTTGTGTATAATAATAATAATAATAAATCCTGAATTTGTCAGACTTGAATACCCTGATTTTACAAAAAAACACCCTACTTGGAACAGCTTATATCCTCTGACGCTACCTGAACAGTTCCTAGGTCCTTGGTTAGGACTCGAGCTGTTGAGCTACCAATCAACCCCAAAGGCTATGAATCTCACTAAAGATTAACCAATAATAATAACAATATTGGCTAAGAGCAGAAAAGTTAAAAAAAGAGACTGAGGGATTAATTCTGGCTGTGGAAGACCAAGCCTTAAGGACAAATGTATACAAAGCCAGAATTGAGAAGACAGGAACAGACAGTAAGTGCCGCCTATGCAAAGAAGCTGAAGGAACAGGGGACCACCTGGTAAGCTGCTGCCAGAAGATTGCACAAACTGACTACAAGCAGCGGCATGGCAAAGTAGCAACCATGGTGCATTGAAAGATCTGCAAGCAATATCATTTGCCTGTGAGCAAGAACTGGTGGGACCATAAAATAGAAAAAAGTCATAGAAAATGAAAAAGGTAAACTAACACCCAGTTGTCAATAAGAAAGACAAAATAAAGTCTGGATAGTGGATGTGGCAGTGCCTGGAAACAGCAGAAGAGAAGAGAAAGAACTGGAGAAGATAACAAAATACAAAGACCTACGAATAGAAATAGAACGACTATGGCAAAGGCAAGCAAGGGTAGTACCAATGTTAATAGTTAATAGGTACAGTCCCAAAACAACTGGAGCACCCCTTGAACACCATCGGTGGCATTGATAAATTGGCCATCGGTCAATTGCAGAGGCAGCTTGACGTGGAACAGTTTCTATCCTGCGATGATATCTGTAACACCATCAAACACCCAAATTTGCCCAGGTCCTTGGTAAGGACTCGATAGGTAGACAAAAATACCAAACCCAGTCTGAACATCTGGCTGACTGTGTGATGAATGATAATGATGATAACAACAACAAAATAATAATGTTGATGATAATACTTAGAAGGTACTTGGTCAATACCTAGAATGCTGGCAGCAACCCGTATTAACCATTAGTGCCAGTTAATATTTGTGATACATTTTTAAATGTTCAGTTGACTTGAGTTTCATGTTTAATGAATAAAGTATATAATAATAATAGTTTCCTGCCTTGATCTTCTGAGTCATGCTTGCAGAAAGAGTTTACACCCAAGGTGCTTCTGCGACCATAGCCATAAAGTTAAGAGTAGATGAGTCACCACCTACTTATCTTTGAACTTTTACCTCCAGAAAGGAAAAATTTGGGGCAGGAATGGGAAAGGTTTGAAGAGCGGGAGCTACATTTTGCTATTGTAAATAATATTTGGAAAACTGAGCTCAACCTTGTACAGATGTACCTAATAAGGGGAACCGGAAGGAACAGGGCTTATATTTAGGTATATATTTCCTTCAGAAGAAGAGAGCAAGAAAAGTTAAACATCTGAATTAATAATATAATAACAATAATAATAATTGACTGTGACCAACTATAGTAATAATTGACCAACCTTAAATAATAATGTTGTGCCACCTGACTCCTTGCAACTCCGGGTACAAATTGTTAAAAGAAGGCTATACACAAAGGAACAAAGATGGTAGAGATGACAAAACCCAGATGGAAACAAGGATAAATACAGAATATAGAATAACCTGGTTGGAAGGGACCTTGGAGGTCATCTAGTCCAACTGTCTGCTCAAGCAGGAGACCCTGCTAGACCATTTCAGATAAGGGATTGTCTCCTTAAAAACCTCCAGTGATGGAGCACGCACAATTTTTGAAGGCAAAGCTGTTCCTTTGGTTAATTGTTCTCACTATTAGAAAGTTTCTCCTTATTTCTAGGTTGAATCTCTCTTCGATGAGCTTCCATCCGTTACGTTTTGTCTTGCCCTCAGGTCCTTGGGGAAATAAGTCAAGCCCCGTCTTCCCCCTCACAAGCCCCTCAAGTATTGGAAGGCAGCTATCAGGTCACCTTTCATCCTTTTCTTCATTAGACTAGACATACCTAGTTTCCTTAACCATTCATCCTATGGCTTCAGACCCTTAACATCTCTTTTGCTGTGCTAAAATAAAGCTAATAAGAGATCTAGAAGCTCAGCCAAGTTGGGTATAAGGTGCTCAGTGTAAGTGCATAAACAGCCTTTCCCTCAAAGCCAGCTTGTTTTGATTCAGACCTTGGTTTGTTTCCCATGCAGGTTTAACCATTGATTGAATAAGCCCCCATCGGCTTGGGGCGTATATGTGTTCTTAATCATAGCTTACAAAACCGTCAAAATAACCAAGTTCTGAAAACAATACACTCATCAGTAGGCAAGCACAGGGTCGAAGTCCAATCCAAAGATGGAGGCGAAATGTCTGTGGTACCTATCCTTCCTTCTCCCCGCCATCAGAACTGATGAAGCTTCTTGGATGAGAAGGGAAATGTTTTCTTCATCTTCCTCAAGGAAAGAAACAGACCAGTTGCCTTTTGAAGTAACAAAATAAGCCCTGTTGAGACACGAGGGCAGAATGCTCTAATGTCATTATCCACAACCAAAGGAATTGAGCAGTACGGTTACCCTTTTAAGACTTGAAACCAGAAAATAACAAAAGTTATCATTAAATATACTTTTCTTCTGGAGAGGTTTATACTTCCTTCCAGCATTCATTAGAGCAGAATCCAGAAAGTGCGTATCAAGAGTAGCAACCTACACCTAAGTGGAACACTTGTTCCAGAATAGATCACCCCTCCCAAGGAACTCTTCCAAACAATCAAAATGAGTTTTGTCTTAATTTTTGACTTGCAGCTTGTCTTGCCCAACATTACAGGACTGCAGAGTGAGGAGCTTTCAGAAATGGTTCCAAGAACCTGGTGTGATGACGCAAGTTGACCTCTGAAGACTTCTTCTTTTCTTCTTCCTCTTCTTTAGAAATGCCCCTAGCTGATCTCTTACAGGCTCCTTCTCCAGAGAAGGTTTATTCAAGGACATAACCACTGACTGTAGCAGCGTTTTTCAAACCTGGGAACTTTAAAAGATACGGGCTTCAGCTTCAAATCCCAGAATTCCCCAGCTGGTCTTCTGGAAGTTGAAGTCCACGCATCTTAGCATTGCTAAGTTTGAAAGGCACTGGCTTAGATCTTCTGCTGCAGCCACCAGCGGTCAACCATCTGACTCATCTTCCATTTTTCCCTTCTTTCCTCCACAGATTCCACAGGGGGATTTAACGGGCTGGATATTCTGAAGGTCCATAGTAGTGACCCTCATTTGATCATCCAGCTCAAGTTCCACAAGCAAGAGAACTGCCGAAAGTTCCTGCAAAGCTACCATCAAGGAGAACTTCAAGAAGCTCTCCAGAGGCATCTCAAGGTCTCTTTGGCCTTGCCCAGCCTGGAGCCCCTCAAGACGGAACTGAGGGCTGGTGCTGAAAAGTTGGATTCCATCATCCAAGAAGAAGAACGTTGTCTGGAGACCATCTCTCGGGAGAAGGTAAGGGTCAGACTCTGAAATGGGTGGCTTGTTATCACCTCGGAGAGACAGCCACTAAAATGCTGGCCTGGTGTCCACACAAACAAAGGTCCCATTGCCTTCTGGAAAGCCTCCAGCGATGAAGCTCCCACAACTTCTGAAGGCAATTGTTCCATGGGTTGTTTGTTCTCAGTGTCAGAAAATTCCTCCTTATGTCCAGGTTGAATGTCTCCTTGTTCAGTTTCCATCCATTACATTATTCCTTTTCTGGCCTTCAGGTGCTTTGGAAAATAGCTTGACCCCTTCCTCTCTGGGGCAGCCCCTCAAATACTGGAAGACTGCTATCCTGTCTCCCCTGGTCCTTCTCTTCCCTAGACTAGCCATGTCCAGTTCCTGCAACCATTCGTTGTATGTTTTAGCCTTCAGTCCCCTCATCATCCTGGTTGCTCTTCTCTACTTTTTCTAGAGTCTCAACATCTTTTTTATGTGGTGAACAAAATTGGATGCAGTACTCTAGGTGTGGTCTTACTAAGGCTTTATAGAGTAGTATTAGTACCTCCCTTGATCTTGATTGTTTGCCTCTGTTAATGCAACTTAGGATTGCATTGGCTTTTTTGGCTGCTGCTACACACGGCTGGCTCATATTTAGCTGGTTGTCCACTAAGACTCCAAGATCCCTCTCATAGTTACTGCTATTGAGCCTGATTTCACCCAGTCTATGTGTGTCCTTTTGGTTTTTCTTGCCTAAGTGTAGGCCTTTACTTTTCTCTGCATTGAATTTCATTTTGTTAGATACGTCCCAGTGTTCTAGTCTGTCAAGATCCATCTGGATCCTGAGCCTATCTTCTAGGTGTTAGCTATTCCTGCCTTTCTCAACCAAGCATTCTAACTCTCCTTGTTTTAAATCTGAGCAGTTTTATAATGCTTTGGAAAGACCACACTTGGAATACTGCATCCAGTTTTGATCACCACTATATAAAAAAAGATATTGAGATGCTGGAAAGAATGCAGAGAAGAGCAATAAGAATGATTAGGGGGCTGGAAGCTAAAACATATTTTAAAAGATTGTAGGAATTGGGTTGGTCTAGCCTAGTAAAAAGAAGGACTAGAGGTGATGTGAGCTGTGTTCCACTAATAGGAGGGGCTGCCCTAAAGAAGAGGGAGTCAAATTATTCTCCAAAGCCCCAGACGGCAGGACAAGAAGCAACGGGTGGAAACTAATCAAGGAGAGAAGCAACTTAGAACTAAGGAGAAATTTCCTAACAGTGAGAAGAATTGATCAGTGGAACAACTTGCCTCCAGAAATTGTGGGGACTCCAACGCAGGAAGTTTTAAAGAAGAGATTAGATAGCCATTTTCCAGAATGTATAAGGCCTGAGCAGGGGTTTGAGCTAGAAGACCTCAAGAGTTCCCTTCCTATTCTGTTAGTCAGATTAGAAAAATGCTAACTAATGCATGCAGCAAAGAAAGAAAATAATTTACAGAAACTTCCCCCACATCCCTCTCCTTGTCTTTTCTTTTTTGAAGCCGAATCATCTCAGAGATGAAGAAGTAGCAGAGTTGGAAGCATCCCTGGTGAATCTTACTTTTCAAGAAAGCAACTCGAAATCACAGCTCTCTTCAGATTCTTCCTTCCACACTTTAAATTCCTCCCCTCCATCTTCCAGCCCTCCGGAGATTTCAAAGCCTCCGGTTGAAGAAGATACCTTCTTTTTCCAGAAGCAACAATTTGGTGAGTGTGGCAGGGACTGGAGACAAAAATGCTGGGCCGAGATAAGGAATGGAAGGCCGTACAGGCATGTTCAGTAGGTTCTCCACAAGGATTTACAGGTCATTCTCAACTTCAAGCAGAGGTGGGATTCCACCGGTTCTGTCCGGCTCTGTAGAACCGGTAGCTCTGAAGAGCAGCAGACATGGAACTGGTTCTATGTCTGCTGCATGTTTTGGCCCACCCGCCCTCCCAGGCTCTTACCTGACCTTTATTTCCTGCTTTTTCAAACGCTGCTTCCCTGCACGCAGCGCTGCTCAGCTGTCCAGGCAGCAAGCAGACGAAGATTTACACAGGCGCACAGCGTGCAGGAAAGCACATTGTAAATCACTGAACCAGTAGTTAACCTTGTCGGATCCCACCCCTGACTTAAAACCATTCGTTTAGTGACTGTTCCAACTTACAGAGGCACTGAAAAAAGCAACAGGATCGTTTTTCACACTTTTATGTGTGTGTGTGTGTGTGTGTGCGTATGTATGTATGTATGTATGTATGTTTCTTCATCTAATTTCTACCTCTTATCTCTAACCACTTGTAAAATCTATTCCATGCTAAGTAATAATTCTGTGTCTTCTTTGTCCTTTATTTTTAACGTCAGTCTATCCATCTCTGCACTGTTTAATATTTTCCGAATTACATCCTCATCTGATGGAATGTTCTCATTTTTCCAATATTGTGCAAATACAATCCTTGCTGCTGTCAATACATACAAAACTAGATATATAGCCCCTTTATCATAGCCCTCTGGCAATATACCCAACAAAAATATTTCTAGTTTCAGATCTACCGTGTTTCTCATATAATAAGGCCGGGTCTTATTTTTTTTTGAGCCCTGAAAAAATGGCTAGGCTGTCTTTTCGGGGGTGGCTTAATTCCCCCCCCCCTTGCATCTTTGGGCGGGTGGGTGGCGATGGCTTGGATGTTGACCTCGGCGTTGGTGGGGCACTTCGTATCGGGGTCAACGCAGGCAGCACCATATCCAGGTGTGCAACAAAAGTACTTCCTATTGGCAAGACCCCCCACCATTCCCCCCCATTTCGCATGTTTTAATATGGGCCTTAATTTGGGGGGAGGGGCTTAATTTCATTTCATATACACATTGCCTATAAAACATGCTGGGACTTCCTATTGGGGGAGGCCGTATTGTTGGAGAAACAGGATATATGTTGCTTGATCAACTTTTCCAACCAATGTATGTATTTTTGTCCAATATTTTCTTGTTTTCGTGCAAGTCCACCACATATGATAATAAGTACCTGAGGTCTGATTACACTTCCAACACTTGGCAGACATATTGCTAAACATTTTTATTAATCTTGCTGGTGGCAAGTGCCACCTATAAAACATTTTATAGAGATTTTCTCTGTATGCAGTAGCCATTGTCAGTTTATACTTCCTATCCCAAATTTTTGCCATTTATCTAATTCTATAGTATAACCAATTTTTTTGCCCAATCATTGTTTTTTTGACTTGTTCCTCTTCCATTTTATAACTTAATAGTAATTATATATACTGTATTTTTAATCAATTTTTCATCTGTCCCTAATAATATCTTATCAAGTGTTGTTGATTCTTTGTAAAAAAAAACATGTTTTTGCATCTTTCTCATATCTCAACTGTATTTGCAGATGTGGCCACCAAGCTAAGTCCACCCCTTGGTTTTGTAATTGTTGTCTAGTTTTAAGTTTACCATTCTCATTTAAAATGTCTTTATAAAATACAATTCTCCCCCCCCCCCCAAAAAAATTAATAAGATTCCATTGTGGAAAGCCAGACTGGTATTTTCATATTGTTTTGTAGTTTAATATTTTCCCATACCTGGAGCAAGGCATTCCTCACATAGAGTCTTTGAAAGTATCTATGTATCGTACTCTTTCCATACCATAAAAAAACGTTGGACTTGGAGAAATGGAAGAATTTACAACTATCTTTGATGGGGAGAATAGCCACTATAAAAATGAATATACTACCGAAACTACTTTTTTAAAAATTCCAAACAATACCGACAAAAATAGAGAAAAAATATTTTGAAGAACTAAATAGAACAATCTTGAAGTATATCTGGCAAAGGAAAAAAGCAAGAATAAAATCATTTTTCACACTTATGACGGCTGCAGCATCCCTTGTGGTCACGTGATCAGAATTCACCTGCTTGGCAACTGGCATATTTTTATGACCCAGGCTCACGTGATCATCTTTCGGATGGTTGTCAGGTTGACTCAGCCTTCCGTCCTTCCAAGGTGGGTAAAATGAGGACCCAGGTTGTTGGGGGCAGGAGGCTGACTCTGTACACGGCTTAGAGAGGGCTGGAAAGCGGTATATAAGTTTAAGCGCTATTGCCCTTCCATCAATCCATCACCCATCTATTACGTGCAGTGATTAGACTGCAGTATTGCAGGCTGACTCTGCCCACTGCCAGGAGTTCAATCCTGACCAGCTCAAGGTTGACTCTTCTGAGGTCAGTAAAATGAGGACCCAGATTGTTGGGGGCAATATGCTGAGTCTGTATACCACTTAGAGAGGGGTATAAAGACCTGTGAAGCGGTATATAAGTGTTGTGGTCCACCGGCCACCCAACTTTAAACTCAGACAAGTTGTGGAAAAATACCAGGGAGGAAGGAGCCGAGAAAGGCAGAGGGCGGGACTCTGGCGCAGTTGTTGTGGTCCGCCGGCAGCAGAGTCGGACAGTGGGGAGGAACATGGGCCAGTCTGGGAGTCTAGGGAGGGCTCGGACGAGGGATCTGCGCCCGACACAGAGATGAGACCAGGGCCATCTGAGAGTTGTATGTTGACTCCGGAGCCTCCAGAATCTGACATCAGCGAGGCAGAGGAACAGG